ACTTTTTACTTGTCAACCTTGGGGCTTCTCAGCCTCAGCAGCCAGCAGCTGTCTGAGTGAAGAAATGCCTCTAGCTCCAGAGAGCTGGGAGCAGGAGGCAGAGCTGGACCCCAAGGTTGAGGGGCTTTCACCCAGCCCCTAGAGCCTGGCACTTTGAACTTGGACTAAAAGCCTCCAAATTATAAGAATAAACTCCTGTTTGTTAAGGCCATCTCATTTGTGGTATATTCCTGTCAGAGCGGCACTAGGGAACCAGAACACTACTTTTGTAGTGATACTGCCTCAGAAACCCAAGGAGGGCTTGCTATGAGTTGGATCCGACTCGATGGCAGTGAGTTTGTTTGTTTGTTTGTTTTTTAAATATACCCACATACTCTATACATATCTATATACATATCTGCATACATGTATATATACCGGCACATATATTTTCTGGTTGTTGCTGTTGCAAAGTTATATATGCCACAGAAATTACCAGATCCTTTTCTCTTGTGTATATCTTACCAGTACTATTTCTTACACAGCAATGAGGGCGTAGTTCAAAACACTGGATGACAATTTTTAAAGTGAGTGGCTAAATGTTGGAGCTCTGGTAGCATAGTGGCTAAGGCACTTGACTGCTAACCAGAAGGCTGGCAGTTCAAACCCACCAGCCACTCATCGGAAGGAAGGTTGGGCAATCTACTTCCGTAGTGATACTGCCTCAGAAACCCAAGGAGGGGTCGCTATGAGTCGGGTCTGACTCGACGGCACATAACAACAACAACAACAAATGTTGATAAATCTTGATGTGTGAATATTCACTTTCTATAAAACATCACATTACTAATGGATTGGTAATGAATTTATTAATAGTTTAAATTCCTTCACATTTCTCCATTTTTAGGTGCTAAAAACACTTTAAAAAAATCCACTGTAACATCTCAGTTACCCAGGAAATTTGAGGCACAAAGAGGTTAAAAGGAAATCTAAAATCCCAATCCTCCTTCTATCTCTGCACAGCCAAATCCAAGCTACTGAACTACCACCTCCTGATATCCCAGAAGTACATTATGGTCAGGGAGTATCTATTATTAACAAGGCTAACAGACAGCTCAAAGCAAATTAAAACAAAAAGGAGCGCCTTCAAGCTGACTCCAACTCATAGCAACCCCATGTGTGTCAGAGCAGAACTGTGCTCCAGAGGGTTTTCAATGGCTGATTTTTGTGGGGAGGCAGATTACCAGGCCTTTCTTCCAAGGTGCCTCTGGGTGAACTCAAATCTCCAACTTTTCTGTTAACAGCTGACTGCATTAACCATTACACCTCCCAGGGACTCCAAAAGCAAATTACTACTGCTTAAAATATCAACAGTTGAACTCTCATTAATACTCAAGAATATGTCCCCTGTGAAGTCTACATTAGAGAAACTACTACTGTTTGTATTTTGGAGATGAGTAAGGGAAGGCCTTGAATCATTCAACCATCCATTCACAAAAATCTCAGCCTCACTCTGCCTGAGAGAAGCTGTTTAGTCCAAGATTGGTCTGCCCTCTACATAGTCACTCACCTTCTAAGTCTATGTGGTGTAAAAGTTCTAATGTGTTGCACAACTTCCCATTTCTCTCTGCCCTACTGCCAGAGCCTTAGCCCCAGTCACCATCATCTCTTCCCTGAACAACCACAACAGCCTCTGAAAGGGTCTCCTTGCTCCCATTCCTACTGCCAATTTTCCACTAACCCGCCAGGGTAATTCCTCTAAAATGTAAACCTGACATTTGTTGAGTACAATGCTTCAATGCTATCTCCTGTCCTCTGAAGTCAAGTTTCAAATCCTTGGTGTGGCTTACAAGGGCCTGCAGAATCAGCCCAGCACTGCCTCCTGTCACTCTTGCCTTCAGTCTCCAGCCTCCAACTCTCTTGAACTGTTTTTGCTTTCTCAAAAGTTCTTTATTCATTCTGTCCCAACCTATGTTTCACATGTGGTGTTCCTCCCTGTTGGGAACACTTGCCCCATGGCTCCCTTCATCTAAATGACACTTTTTCTTTCATCTCACTGTAAATCTGCTTCTTCAGGAAGGGTCTCATGGAGCCCTCAGGCTAGGAGAGCTCCTCCTGTCAGGTGCTCTCCTTGCACCCTGTACTTTCTTCTTGCTTCCTTTACCCTGTGTGCACTCACCATCTGTCTCCACAAGAGCAGGGATTGTACATCTTCTGCATGTATTGCCAGCACCTACTCTAGTGTTTCCACCACTTGTCTATCAATTTGTTGTCTTGTGGTGGCTTGCAGGCTATGGTGATGCTAGAAGCTATGCCACCAGTATTTCAAATACCAGCACAGTCGACCATGGTGGACAGATTTTGGCAGAGCTCCTGGACTAAGGCTGACTAGGAAGAAGGACATAGCCAGGTCCACTTCTGAAAAAAAATGGCCACTGAAAACCTTAGGAATAGCAAGGAAATATTGTCTGATATAGTGCTGGAAGATGAGTCCCTCAGGTGGGACGGCACTCAAAATACAACTGGGGGAAGAGCTGTCTCCTGAAAGTACAGTTATCCTGGCAACATAGATGGAGTAAAGCTTTTGGGACCATCATTTGCTGATTG